GGGGGATTCAAGGGACATTGAAGAAACCAATGATAGTGTGTAGCTGTATCCCCCGGCATGTGTATCGAAAGAGACGACTAATGTGAGCTCCGTGCATGTTTTCTTTCCTGTCTTCTACTAAAAAGACATTGGATACACCAAAATTGCTGCTGACCCCATGTTCGTTTCTTATCTTTCATGTTTCCTTTTCTTATTAGTTTTTCCGGCGGTGTCTTTATTTTTTGATACATACGTTTGTGCAAAGATGGTGAACTATGTGTTGCTCGTTATACTTTGCCTTGTTTTGCTTTATGTATAATCCCATAAAATATTTTAAACACGGAAGTCATAATCAAACAATAGATGCATTGACCTTTTTATATTATCAGGCCTCGCGGTTCTGCAGCAGCAGAGCGACTTTGGAGCAGACGAGAGGATACCTTGGATTTGTTTGACGCCGCCAGACGATTAGCAGAGCAGAGGTGTCGCATGTTAAGGTAAAATATGGCTACTGTATGCTCAGATCTATAACGTATGTTCAAGTTGTCGTATGATTGGATAAAATGCTAGCGTCGAATGCTGAGGTAAATTTCAAGTGTTGTAAGCTAAGGAAACAAAAACTGGTACATGTATAACATCTCGAAGTAAAAAGTATATCTCGCATCCTCTGGTAAATTGTAAGTGTCGTTTGCTGTGTTATCTCGTATGCGCCCAGGTTATCTATCAAATTTATAAGTTATCAATACGAAATCAATAAATCAATCAATTAATATGCAAACAATCAATCAATCAATTAATATGCAAACAAGCAATCAATCAGTCAATCATATCCTAAGCAGCCTTTATCGTATACATCGATATATAAACAATATATTAAAAGAAATTAGAATCATATCTAATTTACAAATTGTCTTTCAGAGCACTTAAACACACAAACTATGGAAATTGGGCTTTGGTCGTTTTAATTTTCAATAACCTAAATGTAAATATGATGATATATGGACAATAGTTACGTTTTTCGAAGATTTACCATTAATTCATTGACAATGCATCCCTATTATTCTCAATATCACCACTTAAGATGCAGTGTCATTTATTTGTTGGCATACTGTTTATATTATCAAATGTTAAAGGTGTACACTCTGTTGGTAGATGTTTTAGTCCCCGTGGTTTGCCATAACCTTGATGGTCAATTATCTCTGTTGAGTAGTGGCATGGTTAAGAATATACACACTTTAGGGATGATGTTATTGGAAATCAGTACTCCTCTTCATTTTACAATTCATGCGTTAAGGGATGTTTTACAGTTATTTAGACAATCCAGATTTAATCTGTTTGGTCCCTCGCATCACCAATGAGTCCTAGAAGGACGAATCAGCTGTAAAATGCAGTGTAATTTATTTTTCGGCAAATTGTATTGTTTACCAAATTTTTAAGGTGCACTTACCTGTGTGTGTAACATGTACGTATATCTTGTTATACATTTTAGGAGAGGCCTTGATCCCGGGTTTGCCAACGGACCTGAATTTTGTCTGAGGAAGAATGTCAGCAGACGCAAATCACATTCCCGAAACCATGTGACAGATCTGTCAGCCAATCACAACTCTGTGTTCCAATACCCAATCATCGACAAGAAACAGACAGTACCATGTGAATCAGACAAAGAGGTAAATCTCTGAAGACTATAGAAAGAAA